CGTCAACCACCAAGAGTAACAAGCGAATCCCGCAGCGAAACATGAATACCAAGTGCCTCTAGATGCAAACACTCAAGCAATGCACTTGGATTCTCTCTCAATCTCACAAAGATGATGAATCAATAATGGAGATGAGTGGGAGGGCTTTGGCTAAGCTCACAAGATTGCTATGTCAATGCAAATGGCTAAGAGGGTGAGCTTGAGCCGGCCATGGGGCTTAAATAGAAGCCCCCATGAAATAGAGCCGTTGTACCCCTTCACTAGGTACAGCGCGGGGTGACCAAACGCTCCGGTCATACTGATCGGACTCTGGACCCAGCGTCTGGTCGCCCGATGTCAGCCACGTGTCACACTACGTTCAACAGGAGTCATCTGATCTCAACGGTCATCTGTTGACCGGACGCTCCGCTACAACAGACCGGACTCTGAGCCTCCAGCGTCCGGTTGTTTCCAGTAAGGTTCTAGAAACGCATTTTGTCGACCGGACTCGTCCGCTCAAGCTTGATCGGACCCTGCCAGCCTCCGGTCACACAGTGACTTTCTTCTGCGCCGTCTGACAACATGACCGGACCCAGACCCTTAGCGTCCAGTCTGTCCATGACCCAGGGTCCGATCATTCACCGACGCTGGCGTCTTCACTGCCATCACTGCCATACATGGTCGGACGCGCCGGTCCCCCAGAGGTCCAGCGTCCGGTCACTGTATAGCCAGCGACACTAACTCCTTTTCACCTCTAACTTCTTCACCCTTGCTCAAATATGCCAACCACCAAGTGTATCACCTTGTGCACATGTGTTAGCATATTTTCACAAACATTTTCAAGGGTGTTAGCACTCCACTAGATCCTAAATGCATATGCAATGAGTTAGAGCATCTAGTGGCACTTTGATAACCGCATTCCGATACGAGTTTCACCCCTCTTAATAGTATGGCTATCAAACCTAAATGTGATCACACTCTCTAAGTATCTTGATCATCAAAACAAAATAGCTCCTACAAAATATACCTTTGCCTTGACCTTTTTGTTTTTCTCTTTCTTCTTTCCAAGTCGAAGCACTTGGTCATCACCATGCCATCATCATCATCATGCTATGATCTTTATTTACTTCACCACTTGGAGTGTGCTACCTATCTCATGATCACTTGATAAACTAGATTAGCACTTAGGGTTTTATCAATTCACCAAAACCAAACTAGAGCTTTCACTCTCTGAAGCTGTGTCTCCATCCTTGTCGCCTCGTCGTACGCATCAGCGATGTCATCCTCGTCTTCGTCCTCATTAATTGGCTTGTTAGTGTAGGGGGGCTGCATGTGTGTGGGTACTCCTATGCAACCATTGGAGATAGCAGTCGAATTTGCGTTGGTCGTGCGGCGGTATCTCGGTGATCATGACCCTTTGCTGACTGGCCCATTCTTGGATGAACGGGGCATGCGTCACGGCCCAATTCTTCTCCTTGTACCTATTCCTTCGATCGTACCTACAAGTTTAACGTAAGTTAGTGGTTGTATGTATACATATGACTGCTAAATTATTATGTTTCAGTTGTCGCACCCGTGCAACTTTTTGTTGGTTGTGTACAGCGGCGGTGGACATGGCTGCAATCTTCCAAACTACCTGTATACCCTTATAGGGTAGTGTATCTTGACCACGTGGAAGAAAATTAGTGGCCCGTTAAAAATCCACTCGTCCGACTCTTCCTCAGTGCGAGGACTCAGGTACCCCTCTAGCTCGAATCTAGACCACGGACACCAATTCACCTGAAAGTTAGGTAACTACAGTTAGTTTTTTGGAACAATAAAAAGGCAACAACACCGAGTAGCAATATCAAAGTGGTCATTATCTGGTGCTGTGTCAGGACGTCTAGCGTGTCCGAGTACTGTCTGTACCGACGCTTCGGGTTCCCTCTAACTACCTCCGCTTCTTGCCGGACGTACAGAGCAGTCGGTCCTACGTCCACGTGATTCCATGCCTACATTGAATATGATAGTCAGTCACAAGTGCGGCATCAAGTTTGAGGAAAATAAAAAATCGATGCACTTACAGGTAAACCGTGAACAACGGGCCTCCCGATAGGCCATCGCTCCCAACACCAAACCTGTAGTAGGTGGGAACAACCTCCTTGGTTGGCACCTCCTGTACTGCGTCGGTAGACAACGCAGAGCCAACGATAGATCCATGTTAGGACTACGCTGCCCCAGCTATACGCTCCTATATTCTCCTAAGGCTGGCTCAGTATGTTGAGGAAGGCCCAGCTGATGGTATTACCCGACGCGTCGGGGAACAGGAAGGCGCCGAAGAAGTGCCATAGCCACACCCTAGCATACCTCTCGATCCCCTGCTCTGGAGCGTCTAGGTGCAGCGGCGTCCCAAAGTTTTCTATGATTCGGACCAAACTGATACCAGATGTTTTCCTGCAATTTTTGAATAACAATTATATGAGAACTGAGGGAACAAAAATAAACATTAAATTAGGCAAAGACAATACGCATCATAAAAGCTATGTACTAAACCCTTCATTTAAATAGCCAAATAATTTGCAGAATATGTAGATCAACGACAGACTTAGACCATAACATATATTTGTGATATAAGAGACCAACCAAAGACTTGCATGTGTTGGTGTCAAATTGGTAAATGTTTGGAACGTAGAAATTCTTACTTTGCTCTCTTAGCATCCTCGTCCTCGGATGGTCTTCTGCCACAGAACTGCTGGACCAAGTCCATCTAGTGATCGTTATCAAGGATCCCAGTCACTAGAAGACCCCCCAACCACAGACACAGAATCATCTTCACATCCCGCATCGTGATAGTCATCTCACTGCAAGGAAGGTGGAAGGTGTGGGTCTCCGGCCTCCGCCTGTGGGTTTTTAATTCAATACAAGAAGTTTTTTAATTCAAACAATGAGACAAATCAATGCTTTGTACTGTCGCAAACGTGTATCAAATCATACCTATCGACAGCAACAGTGAGAAGTGCAGGGTCGAGGATCGGTAGCCCGGTGTTGAAGACGTGGACGATCTCAAGAAAGCCGGCACGCTGTATGTACGGTCGGTATCGCTTGTCCCAGCGGTGCGGCTGGTGCGTGCGTAGTCTAAGAGGTACCAAGTCCTCCTGAAGCTCCGACAGGCGCTTGGCTCGTAGGTCCTTGTCGTAGTGCACTTCAAGAATGGGGTACTGCGGATGATGATCCCCTATCTAGGTTCAAATTTTAAATGTATATGTTAGAACAAACATAGTGTGCCCTAATCTTTCCAGTATCAAACCTCCCATTCAGTGTGAAATCACCGCTAAACTTTGCATTCAAACGGACACAAAGGTCGATAAAATTAGGAGGTTCATCAAACCATTCTAATTCTTCTTTCATATCCTCAAACATACAATCTTCTCTCCTAACACTTCATCCGTAAAATACTCTAACACAACAATCCATCTACAAAAGCATTTCAAGAAACTTCATCAAGTCGTCGAAATCGTTGTACGTACTGTCCATAGTAATATTAATACATATTCTAACTATAACTATACTAACTAATCTAATATTAACATCTATATAAGACTAACTACAACAACTAATTATACTAAATACAATGTATAACTAGACTCATTAACTGTACTAACTAAACTAACTAACTTTACTAACTTACTATATTGCCTATACTAACTAAACTAACTAACTATACTTTACTAACTATAGTAACTTTACTTATTGTACTAATTTACTATACTAACAATATCGATCAATCAATAAATACACTAGGGGAGTACCTCACGGCAGCGGCGCTTGTCCTCGCGGCGACGGCGGCACTCGTCCTCGCGGCAGCAGCGTGCGCTCGACCTCACAGCGACGACGCGCTAGACCAGGCCAGGAGGCGCGGACGCTGGCAGGTGGACACGGGATAGAGAGAGGGCCGTGCGGTAGTTCGAGAGCCAGTGTCTGTGTGAGGCGATGGGCGGCGGCAGGCGATGCAAAGTCTGGCATGAGGTGGCGATCTGACGAGGAGGAAGGGCGGCGCGCGCGCGGGCGACTGTCGCGGCGCATGACGAAGCCAAAGGAAAGCGAGCTTGCGCGGCGCGTGGCGGCGGCGAGCGCGCCATGGCAGCGCAGCGAAGCGAGTGGCGACGGCCGAGGAAGAGCGTGAGCGGCGGCGGATTAGGCCGTGGGCCTATATTAGGCTCTGCCGGGCCCTGGACGGTGGCGCGTCACGGCCGCGCCATGATGCGTGGCGCGTCACCGCCGCGCCCTGATTGGTGGCGCGGCAGAGCCGGCCACGTCACGGGTCAGTGGCCTGGTCGCTGCTACGTGGGCAGCCTCGCCGCGCCCTATGTATGGCGCGGCAGCGTTAATTCGCCGTGCCGTGCGAATAGGCGCGGCCAAAAGTGTTAGATTTAAAAAAAAATAAGCAGTGTTAATTTTAAAATTAATTTAAAAAATGTGTTAAAAATAAAAAAAAATCGCATGGGAGCATAAGGGAGAAGAGAAGGCCGCCGGCCGGGCGCAATCATCGAGCCGAGCTGAGGTCGGTCCAGTCCAGTTCAGTTAGCCAGGCTCGCGAGTGATTTGCGAGGGCGACGAGGCAAGCACTGTGGCTGTGAGCGGGCCGGCCGCGCGCACATGGCGCGTCACTCCAAAATCCCCACCATTTTTTTTGGCAGAAAAGAAACATGCGTGCGGTGGATGGATAGAGCATTCCTGCTAGTCCTCGAGGAGGAGGAAGATTACTGGCAGCAGTACCCCCCTCCCGTTCGTGCTTAGTGCAGTTTTTTTTTATTGATCTACTATGAGCATGAAGGATGAGCAGATGGGATGGTCGTTCAGACATCCCCTCCGCCGTCCACTCCATCCCCGCGATTCGATTCCCCGAGCCCGAGCACGCAGCGCACAAGCAAGAGGAGGGCACCGGTAGAGAGAGAGAGAGAGAGAGAGGCGGGTGCCGCGGCCCATTAATGGTGCTTCACGTGACCTGCCACGCCCCCACCTCCGGCCCTCCTAACTCTACTCTACTCAACCCACAGGCAGCCAGCTCCTCGCCTCGCCTCGCTGCTCCACCCTCCCCTCCCGTCCGTCCGTCCGCGTGTGCCGTGTGCCCATCGCGCCCTGCCTCCCTTCCCTCCCTCACCAGTCACCGGACCCTTGGCCAAGTTGCCATTTGCCTCCCCTCCCCATCCCTCCCTAGTCCCTCCCCACTCACGGTAGCTGCCATTGTCGCCCTGTCTCCCCCCTCCACGCTCTACCACACCACACCACCACAGCACAGCACAGCGCCACGATCTCGGTCTCGCCGGTGCCACCCTGCTGGGCTCCGCCCCATACCTCCGGCCTACTGCAACCGGTGCCCGGCGGCTCTGTCTCTGACGGTACGGACGTGGCCCGGCCGACTGAGCGCAGTCCGGCCGGCGCTGCCTCACAGCGACAAGCAAGACACAGGCGCCACCGGCCGCGGGAACTCTGCTCTGCTCGCCCTCGCCCTCGCCGCGGGGAGACACGGGGTAGGCGCGGAGGACGCTAGATCCGCGTGTCCGGCCCCGCCTCCACCGCACCGCCGCCCGCGGCGGCGGCGGCCGCGGTTTCCTCGTCGCGCGCCAACGCAGCTGCTGCAGTGCAGGTCCGTCACCCCACCCTCCTACGCTTCTCTCTATCTCTGCTTGGTGGCCGTGGTGGGTTTTGCCATTTTTGGGTTGGTTTGGGTTGGGTGAGCTGTTCATCCGGGGCGGTGCCATGGTGGTGGGAGGTGACCGTTCGCCGTCCCTGTCGCTCCCAAAAGCGGCGCCTTTTCAGCCGCGCTTCCGATTGGAGCTGGGGCTCGGTTTGGATTACGGAGCTCCTCCTCGCTCCTACCCTTTTTTTAATCTCCTCTCTAATCCGATCTAATCGCAGTCACCTGCTCGCCTCCCACTCTATCCTGTAGTAATTAATGCCCGTAGTTAGTTCTCCCCTCCTAACCTCTGCCTTGCTGCATCCATGGGGACCAGCGCCATCGCCAGCTTTCCCTCCGCCACGCCCATTGGCTCCGGTGCCGTTGCCGACTTCGCCGTTGCCATTGCTGCGCCCTGTCCCCGTCCTCCTCCTCCTCCTCCTCGGTGGTGGGATAACGACGGCTGCGTCCCCGCCAACCGCCGCGTCCTACTCCTCCCCGATTCGGTTGTTGCCGGCTCCGTTCCGCCGACCAGGTAACATGCGCCTCTGCTCTGCTCCGCGCTGCCCGTCCCAATCACGCCATTCCTGCCGCTCTCTCGTCTGCATGTAATGTACTCCGTAATTTATTATTCGGTTCACCGCTGCGTCTCGTCCGGTGAGATGAGATTCGGTCGGGTCTTTTTCCTGTGTCCGTCACCGTCCGTTCGAGCGGGCAAGAAAATAAAAAGGCCGGCGTCTTTCCTCCGCGCCCCAAGCTAGCTGCTCCGGCCGAGCTTTCTTGGCGCGTCTGCGGGCACACAGCGCCTCCTCGGTTCGTTGGGTAGGAAATCGCCCGCCTTTCGCGGCGTGGTTGCGACATTGGCAAAGCTTCTTCCTTCCTTCCTTCCCTCCGTTTCCGCTGCGTTAGCTTGCAAGTTCCTGCCAAAGCGAGGATATTGCTACTGCGTCGAGGAGCCATTTTCCTTGCAGCCTGCATAGCGAAAGAGAAAGGCAGCTAGGCGGAGAGAGAGAGAGAGAGAGAGAGAGCCGCAGCGGCAGCTTTTGCACGCCCGCTGCGCATCTTTTTATCCCCGCTAGTTTTAGTTCGTTTCTTGTGGCCTTTTCCGGGGCCGGCGGGCGAAATGTGAATATGTGATAATGAGTTCTCGTGGCGTCCGTCGATCTGTTCGCCGTTCTCCCATCATCATAGTTCCCTGTCGTCCGTCCTTTGCACATTTGTTCTTGTCCTCGGGGGAGCAAGGCGTGTGGGGGTTCGCGCTTCACGTGTTGATTCCTCACGCTCCCGCACTGCCTCCTCGTCGGATTTCGTGATGTGGAAGCCGCTTTTTGGACGCAGCTGATCAGTTGTTGTATTTTTTTGTTCCGTTCTTCCGCTCTGCCTTTTCCGGTTCTTCTCTCTCACTATCTGTCTTCAAAAGGTTTAAACTTTGAAATGTCTGTCACTGCTAGCATGATGGCGACGTGATTACGGAATCTGATGAGTTATGGCTCTGATTTGCAGGAGGAAGTTGTGAATGAAAGGGGTTCAGGATAAGAGGCACAGAAAGAAGCAGGACCTTCAGGTTCTCGCGCCCTTCCCGGGATGCCTGGGGAGGATGATCAACATGTTCGATCTCGGCAACGGCGTGGTTGCAACCAAGATGCTCACCGAGAAGGCACATAGAGATGGTACCTATTTCTCTTACCCTTTTCCACTACATGGTTTTGTAAATTTTGCATGATTTTTTCTGTTCCCTGGGATGGGTTTCTTCTTCTTCTTCAGCGTGTGCAAGGTTATGCTCCACAAAATCTGTGATGCAGTGTAGCATATGCTTTGCAGTTTCTCCAGCCGGAAAAGACCGGAGTAATACTTTCAAGATGGCAATTAACCCCCCAGCTCAGACTGAAGATAAACAGGTATGTCGATTTTTTTATATGTTTTTTCTCATCGAAATAAAACTTGCGCACAACTGGAAGTTACACAATTTTGTTCATCTTCTATGATTTACCTGCAGAGAGATAGTCAGACAAGAAGGAATTCCCCTACTAAAAGATCCAACTCACCTACTAAAAGGACTGGTGCAACACCTGTTAAGATGCTCATGGAGCAGGACATGTGGAAAGAAGGGATGCCTGATGAGGAGCCACTGAATGTTGTTGCAAGATTAATGGGTCTACATGATGCTCCAGTTCAGCAATCTAATTTCCCTTTAGGAAGACAATTGGATAAGGAATATCATTGTGGTGGTTTTGAAGAGAACTACCGGAATCTCAAGCCGAAGAAGGAAAGCAAATGCCACCAAAACCAAAAGGTAGGGGCACGCCATCAGCACACTTGGAATGGTTCTGGTGACCAACCATCAAGAATCAATAGCATCCAGAGCAAGCACCAAGGAAATGAGCCTTGTTGTGAGAAGAGGATGTCGCTTGTTCGCGAGAAGTTTGCTGAAGCGAAGCGTCTAGCCACGGATGAGAAGCTTCTTCATTCGAAGGAGTTCCAAGATGCACTGCAGTTTTTAAGCTCAAATAGAGAGCTATTCTTGGAGTTCCTTGATGAGCCAAATCCTCTGTTATCAAGCAACCGTTATGAGTTCCAACCTGTTGCACCACCTTCTGAAGTAAAGCAAATAACCATACTGAGGCCATCAGAACCAACAAAGAGAAAAGGCAGCATCCTTGTGGGGAGACAACTGTTTTCAGATGGAGATGAAAGTGAACGTAACAGATACAGGCGCCATCAGAGTTTAGATGCTTCCCCAGCAAATTCAAATTTGTCTGAGCCAACAAAAATTGTAGTACTAAAGCCAGGACTCTCCAATTATCATGATTCCAGGATTGCGAGGTCTTCATTATCATCAGCAGAAGATAGTGAAGAAGAAAGTATGATGACGGTTGATGAAACCGTGTGCTCAAGAAGGTTGGCAAAGGAGATCACTTGGCAGATGAGGATGCGGCTAAAAGACAAGCAAGATGAAGAGAGCATGCTCTCATGTGAATACCCTGACTTTTATTTCGGAGATGACTCCTTCAGTAAGTCAGAAGTTGAGATTGCAAAAGAGATGTCTGGTGAAACAAGTGAGGAATTGGAGTTTGGCACTCCGACTTCTGGTCGTTCTTGGGATTTTCTGAGTAGAAGTGGAAGTCCTTACTCTGCGTCATGCTCTAGTCAGGCATCCCATAGAAGGGAACCATCTGTAGTTAGGGAAGGCAAGAAGAAGATTTTAGAGAGATGGTCTATGGTATCATCAACAGTCAGTAGTGAGGAAGAAATGGAAGGTCGCAGAAGTACAGGCACACTTGGTGACATGCTCACAATACTGAAAGTCAAGGACCAGGAAGAAATTGGGGCTGAAACACTGGGGAGCCCAGCACCTGAGCTGGAACCTGAAGAGCCTTTCTCATGTTTGCCAAGATCTCGATCTCTTCCACTTTCTTTGTCCTATGGAGTTGCTGAGTCAAATGGATTAGCCTCTGGCACTCAGGAAGCTGAAAAGGAAAGAATCAGGAAGTCATCATCATTTAGGGAAAAAGTTTCTAGCCTGTTCTCTAAAAATAAGAAATCGACTAGGGAGAAGGTAGATCCATCTGCGAGCAATAGACTCAAGAATGGAGGGACTGTGACTACTGGTGATGTGAAGGAAGGCTGGAGCCATCTTGCGCTAGAGAATCTTCAGAAACAAAGTACTTGTCTAAATACAGATGAGAAGAACACTGTGCAAGGACTCGTGACTAGTTCTTGTGATACTAATGATACAGCTAATATCCCTGCCAAGGTAATTTAACATCTATCTTGTTAAAGCTGGTGCTCATGGTTTTTGTACAATCACTTGTATAGCCTTCAAAAGTCCAAAATATGATAGTTAGCTTTGCTGTATCAGGATATTTCCTCCATTTCAAGTCTTGGCGCCCCAGGAATCTTTGGTGACCCTCAGGACCAACCTAGTCCTGTATCTGTACTAGATGGACCATTTATATGTGATAACAGGAGGCTACTGTACTCATCTGAAAATTTCATAACTTCATCCCCACGTAAGCCTGAAAACCCATTTCATCAAACTCTTAGCTGTCTAGCGCAAGATGGTCTATCTCAAATGGCATTTTTACATATATGTGCAGAAGCTTTGTCGAGGTCTCCCCTGATCGGATCATTTTCACGGTCACTGTCATGGGAGGATCCCCCGCTGGAAGCCATGTCGCCAAATTCTTTGAGACTCTCAAGGCTTTTCTCAAAGGCTGATGAAGATCTAGATTCACTGACTTTTATCCAAAAGCTGGTCCACTTTTGTGGCATGGATGGAGAAAGTTGCATATTAGCTGACCCTTTGGACCCAGATTTGCTTGAGAAGATTTCAGATTATGATGAAGGAATTAAGTTTGGGAAAAGACGGTCAAAACAGAGGCTTCTTTTTGACGCCGTAAACGAAGCACTCACTGAGCTTGCTTCGATGGCGGAACTGGCTGCATACCCCTGGGGTAGATCATGCTCTTCGGAGCACGGGGATTGCAAGAATGGTTCCAGTAATTTGGCGGCTGAGGAAATTTGGCGGGTCATTAGGAACTGGTCGATACTTGAGAAGTATCCTCCCGGCGAAGCTATTGAAAGAAATCTCTTGCTGGAGATGATACTCAAGAGGGAGGTGGCTGAGGCAGCCAGCGCTGACACGACTCGGTTAGAGATGTTTGATCTCAACACCGCGGTCTGTGCCATGGTCTTGGAGGACCTGGTTGAAGAGACAGTTGTAGATCTGACTAACTGCTAGTGAGGTACCTCTGTCCTCACTAATAATCTTGCCTCTGCTCCCTAATGTTGCTGTTGGTGTGATACTTGCTGCTGTAACACTGCTCCATTTATTCACGCTATTACTTGCTGAAATGTGATGTCAAATGGGTCTCTACCTTGTTTACATTTCTGTTTTGATCTCTGATATTTGCTCTAGCCGTTAACTATTAATGGTTTTGCAATGAATTATGCCATTGTTGTGTCTATATATAGCCGTTTTGCACACACAAGACAAAAATAATAATAAGTTGCATGGCTCCACACTTCCACAGCACTAGTTTGTTGATGCTGCCTGTAGTTGAGATTGTCTCCTTTGTGGTGGAG